GATTTGCGATGCTCTACTATAGAATCGCCCAACTCTATGAAAGTTTCAAAATCAGACACTTTCCTCAAGTTTAAGTAATATTCAAAATTTGTCATTAATCGCGACACGAACTGCACATGGCACTCATTTAGGAGTTAAGCCTTTATAAAATTCTCTAAAGCAATTTGTGGTGTAGGTTCGAATTCTTTTAGAACAATAGCTTTTACTTTTTCATAGTCACTTACAACCTCATCTCTAATATACACGATAATGTTCGAAGCCCGTTCCCCTAACACGTTTAAGACTACTGCAGCGTTAGATTTCTCAGGCACATTTTGTTTTTGCCTTGAAAGTCCTTTCTAAAGACGAGAAAAAATAACTCTTGTTTTCAGGCTCAATTGGAACCTTCAGTGTTAGTGTTCTTATACTTTTAATAAGGAAATCTAAGGAATCAGAACTTTCACCTTTTGTTTCGTTTTGATCATTATTATCAATTTTCTTTTCAGCTCGTAATCCAGGAATTTCTAGTTCTGTTTTACAGTTCTCCAATTTAATTTGTTCTAATTGTAATACTTAAACTTCTTCAGATTTGCGATGCTCTACTATAGAATCGCCCAACTCTATGACCGAATCTGGATCGGATCTAAAAGCTTCACTGCTTTTAATTGCTAGATTTAAATCTGCAACAGTTACCTTTTCACTTAATTCTATGTTTAGTTCTAAAGCTAGTAGCTTTAAATCTTCTTTGCACCTTTTATCAACATTATAATCTTAATAAAATAATAAAGTAATTGTTCTCAAAACACACTCTTAACAAGTGCATAAATACTATAAATTTTCTCAACATTTTTATACAGTATCCCTACAATAAAATAGCACTTTATGTTTTAATCGAAACTGCTGACTTACTCGTTACTTGTAAATGACTCATAATCCACAGAGCTCCGGCTGCCACAGGACGGACCACGAATGTTGTACACATTCTCTACACTATAATAAACTCTCAGTGGACCGTACTAATATGACACTTTATTCTCAATTTTATACCGTTCATGGTCACTCGCAGCCACGAATTCTCTTAACTCACATTCTCATGCAACAAAACTCCAAGAACTCAAGGCGCATGCACAGACGCAACAATATAATTCTATCGAAATATTTGCCCATTTTGCCTTGGTATGCTTTAGGTAAATCTTTTCTCCTGTCTTGCTTTCTCAGATATTTCTGTTGAAAACATTTTTACCCTTAAGTGCTAAAATGAATATTTCCTATGCAATGCTTTCGGAAGCCATAATTCCAATTTTAAGTGATGAATTAATTGCAGAGCGTGTTTACACATTTTTGAAGCGATTTCCCTGCTTGTTTAATAAATGTTTAAAATGCAAAAATTATTTTATCAGACGATGGATTTGATAGTCTTTCCTCTGTGCTATTAGTCTGCAACGTGATTTCCATAACAAAAGACCTCTCCGCAAAATTTCAAGAAATAGTAATTTCTATTTCTCCAGCATTACTGCCTACAATTAATCAGAATGGGTTTGCGCTTTAAAAGAGTTTCTTTTAAGAGATCGTATTAAAGTACACCATACGTGAAACATTATGAAACTTCGTAAGAAAACTTTGAAGAGTTTTGCTTGCAATATGTGTATCAATCATCATTTTTTCAAGGACTCCTATGGTACGTTTTGAAGTGCGACTTGTTGCTTTACTTTGACGAAGTTTCAGTCTTTGAAATTAATTGGTATAAAGAAATGGAATTCCTTCTCTAAATATCAGACGTAAAACATTCTCTTTATAACATCATATCATATGCTTTTGGAGAAATCGTGATTGTATGTTGAGTTCATTTTAACTGTTTTTTCCACTTCTATTATTTTTAATATCCTTTTAAAAGAGAATCTTGCAACAATCATTAATGAAACATTACGTTTTACTCCTAAATGATAAAATAATTATTTTCCTGTATAATATTTGCGATCGTTATCATTTGACTTTTAAACTGTGAATTATTTATATATTTGATAAATATTAAAACTTTTACAATATATTTTGTGCAAAGAGTTTTCGTCTTTCATTCTAGCTGGGTGAACCCATCGAAATGTATAACTTTACGGAATTAATAAAAAGTATGAAACTGCATAACAAGTGCCTCAGGCGCAGCAGGTGCACAAAGATTAAGGTTTATAGAAGCAAATTTGCAGGTGCTCTAGGCGTCCAAGCTAAGTAGGTTAAGAGAAATAGGCAAAGATCTTAGACAAGTCAAGAAAGGGACCTGAAAATATTTTAAATCTTTTAGACAAATTGGGTGATTAGTAATATTTCCAGTAAGAAAATATATCCAATTTACTGAACATATTTTTTTATTTGGAATTGAAGAAATATACTGAAAGTTTCTTTGGAATATGTTACACTATAATTAAAATTGTTCTAATAAATAATTTAGTATCAAATTTACTCGTAGTGAACGTTGCGAGATCTTAAGTATAAATTTGACACATTACTGTGAATGAAATGATATTTAGCCAATAAGCCATGTCTTAGTGGCTTGGTAAATCTAGTATAAAATTTTGTAAAGATGAGTAACTTATTGTTTACTATCTGCTTTATTTTTAACTTAAGTGTTTAATGTTACATATTGTTATTTGCAAATTTATTTGACGACAATATTTTAAATAGCTCCGCCTAAAACGTTGCAGATTTTCCATTAGAATTTAATTTGCAGAAAAATATATTTATGGAAATATTTCCTTATGTGGTTGTCTTCTTAGATATTTTCTTTCATAGCAATTTTACGTGTAAATGTTAAAAGAATTATTTGAATTGTCAGGTATTAGAAATATTTTCAGTATTAAATAATATTAAATAACGAGATAATTATTTTAAACTTGTACTCTTTATTAAAGTGGAAAGTGTTTTATCCTTGCTACGTAGGTGCACAAGGAGAGGCAAATGCGCAATTTATGGCAAGTGCTTGTTTTTACCAAATTTGATGTAATTCGTACATCAAATTCGGTAAAAAGAGTAAATGAATAATTGTTTGTAATTGCTTTGTTTTTCCAGTGTTTAATTTGGAATGTGCTATTTGCTCATAAATATTACGAAGTTATGCTTAACTCTGTCGAAATATTTGCACATTTTAACTTGGTATTCTTTAGGTAAATCTTTTTTCCTGTCTTGCTCTCTCAGATATTTTTGTTGATAATAGTTTTACCTGTAAGTGCTAAAATAATTATTTCCTGTGCAATGTATTCGGAAGCAATATTTTCAATTTTAAGTGATGAAAGAATTTCATCACTTAAATCATTTTCTCACAGCGCGTTTCACATTTTGGGAGCGATTTCGGTAGCTGCTTAGTTAATGCTTAAAATGTAAAAAAATATTTTTAGACGTTCGATCTGATAGGCGTTTCTATGTTCTATACGACTACAACGAGATATCGATGACAGAAAGCCTCTCAGTAAAATTTCAATGAATAATAATTTATATTCTTCTACTAATTCGTTCCAGACTCCATCAATCAGAGTGGATCTATGCTTAAAAAGATTTATTTTCAAGAGACGAAGTTATAATTCTCCCTTGGTGAAACATCAGACGATTTGGCAAGAATGCGTTGAATATTTATACATGCAATACATATATCAAATCTTCATTTTTTTCTAGTACTCCTATGGTACTTTTCGAAGTACGAGTTGGAACAATTATCAGTGACTTACTGAAACTTTCTTTCATTAACACAACCATATTTGTACATTTTTTCTTTGTTTTCGAAAACAAATAGGCTTTTTTGGGTTGCAGTCATTTAGGTAAATTTTGGGTTAAACACTTTACGTAACAAGGTTTCCATAACCATTCTGCGTTGTGCCACTTGATATGGCAAAAGCCGCTGAATATTATGTTCTTCAGCATTTTTAAGTTGTAGATCTTGGTTTATTTTTTTATTTGTTGTGTTGTTATCTACAATTGTGTTTAAATAATTTGTAACTGATTTCTCCGTCTGCGGATTTTCTCTTGTCATCAACGTTTTAATTTAGAAACATGGGAAACGGTACATACCTTTTCTGAGTACAAGTTTGGAGCCTACTTTTCATGTGGTGTAAGGACTGATGGTTTTATTTTTTCCGATTCAAAGTGTTACTTACTGTGTACTTTGAAATTTTAACACAGTGCATTTCACAACGTTCTGGAATTGGATAATAGACAACAGAGGCGAGCGACACGTCAGAGAAACAAACAACAAACGATGTAGTAGGAAGAACTGCGCAATACGTAACGACAGTACTTATAGACATGTTCCCTTTGCTTAAATTCTGAACTGCGACTGTATAAAACTACCCGCAGTGTTACTCTTACGTGATAGCATGATACGGTTTAATCTATAATTGCTCACTTTAGATTCATATATTAGTCGCTTTAAGACAGGAAGGACAATCAGGCAAATTAAACTGAGTCATTAAAAAACTGTCTGTTCTGCAACATGTTGAAATGTAAATACGCGTATATAGTGTAGGTTACTTTTGAAAAAACTTTTTAAATTTATTTGTTTTGAATTCTGAGTCAAGCAGAATTCACTACGAATCTCAGAAGCTAAATCTGAGTCAATTTTATCAGCGTGGGTAAGATACATATTACGTATCAAATTAGATTTAAACAAAGAATCTCGTGCTGGCCGCTTTATATACTCCTCTGAAAATCCCCAAAAATGTGTATATGAATATTTGTTTTATAGCAGTTTAGTTCTTCAGTTCAGTCTTTAAAGTTAGAAAGGGCTGTATTGCATCTCTCTATGATTATAAGAATTTGTATGTTTCTGTCTAAGATATCTGATATTTCGTGTATTATTTATTTTCTTTCATGGTTTTGCTTTAGGGAGGCATTTTCTCCTGTCCAGTTTATCCATTGCGTTTTCGTTTGTAAATGAAAAAGTGCATTTTGTTATCCACACAATATTTTCACTTTTAAATGCTGATATACTTATTTTAAATGTTTACAGTTCAATTACTCTGAAAGTACTTTTTTTTCAGTTGCACAAGGCCAAGCAGATATACAAGATTACCGAACTAATAAGACCTACGATGTTGCAAAACTTAATGCACGTGCCTCAGCCGCTGCAGGTCAGCGAAGGTTCTAGATTTCTGAAATGATGATATACATATTTTAAATTTTTACAGCTAATTTATTCTGAAAATTCTTTCTTTGTAGCAGCACAACGCCAATCCGATTTACATGGTTACCGAACTAATAAGAATAATGAAGTCACCAAACTTAATTCAGGTGCCTCAGCAGTTGCAGGTGCGCAAGGTTCTTGAATTTTGAAATGATGATATACTATTTTAAATTTTTAGAGTTAATTTACTAAGAAAGTTCTTTTTTTATAGCTGCAAAAAGCCAAGTAGATCTGCATGGTTACCGAACTGGCAGAAATTATGCAGTTCCATATCCTAATGCAGGTGCTTTAGCCGCTGCAGGTGCGCTGGGTTCTAGAGTTTTGAAATGATGATACATTTATTTAAAATTTTTACATTTGATTTACTCTGAAATTTCCTTTTTTTTTGTAGCTGCACAAAGCCAAGGAGGTCTACATGGTTACAGAACCAATAGAAACTACGAAGTTCCATATCCTAACGCACGTGCTTTAGCCGCTGCAGGTGCGCTGGGTTCTAGATTTTTGAAATGATGATATATTTATTTTAAATTTTTACATTTGATTTACTCTGAAATTTCTTTCTTTTCTTTTGTAGCTGCACAAAACCAAGCAGATCTACGTGGATACCGAACTAGCAGGAATTACAAAGTTGCAAATCTTCGTGCAGGTGCCGCAGCAGCTGCAGGTGCGCAAGTTCTAGATTTTTGAAATGATGATATCCTTAATGTTAACGTTTTACAGTTAATTTACTCAGAAAGTTCTTTTTTGTAGCTGCGCAAAGCCAAGCAGATTTATTGTGAACAATTTGATTGAGCTTTCTTTCCCGACGGGTTAAGAGAATGTGTTTGTCGTCTTTAAATTGGAACTGAGTGGTTTAAGCGTATGCAAAATATCACCCAGATTATATTTAAAGAAATATGAGGTTCTCACAAATTTTACGACTGACATGGAACTAAAAACTGTTTCACAAAGCCAAAGTCTACCGCAATTTGTGCGTATTTGTAAGATAAGTCTATAATTTGGTCTGATAAAGTGAAAATAGTATATGGCCTTTCTCAACTGCATATCTCTGTGGAGTGGGGAATCCCCATTTATGCAGATGCCAAACAACGTAAATATAGAAACCGCTAAATGCAAAACTATACATTAGTTTACCTTATGAACAATAAACCTAAAATAAGAAAACTGCATTCACAAATGTCTCATTAATGCATATAAGTCACTTTATGTGAAAACTTAATTTAAGACTACTGTTGCACTAAAGTGCATTCTAATTATAAAATAATTAATAAAATAAAATTTGAACTTTCTCGCTTAATGATTAGTATATAACTTTTGAATAAAAAGAAATAAAACTCGAAGAAGTGAGATTATTCTGTAGACACTTTTATTGTTGCTCTCATCAACAATGCTAAATCCAAAGTTCCGAAAATGATTTATTGATCTGCAAACAAAATTTGTGTATAGCCAAATTTTGTTCATATCATGTGTATTAGTGGTAGAGTTGAGAATAAATTCAAATATTATAGTAAGTTTTAAAGTATTTTTTAAAGAATTTTTCCTTTCGTGGACATTACGCAATTGTTTAGATAGCTTTTTACTTTCTAGTCTTTTACTATCTCTCTCTCATCTTCTTCCCTTTGTAATATCAATCCGAAATTCCATTAGATTGCCAGACAGAAGTAACGTCTAAGGAGCTGTGCCATAAAAATTATTCCCAGAAGAGCTCCGTGAGTAAAAAAAGAACGTGTTTTGTTCTTCTTTTGTAGTTAGGCAAAGATACGCAGATGCGCAAGCTAAGGAATTAATCACAACTATGAAGTTGCAAAAGTTATGCAGTTGAGCAAAAATCAAGATTTTTCGAAGATTCTGTAGTTTTTCAAGATGCTCAATGCTGTGTAGTTCAGCAAAGTGTAGAGTTTAAGGTAATGGGTGAGCAAGTCACAAAATATTCCTGTAAATTTTTTTAACCATCTTTAGCCAATTCTGAGAATTAATCCTCTTTCTAATAAGCAGAAATATTAAAATTCTTAAACATTTCTTACTGGTTAAACACTGTTAATAAAACACTATTTTCTATTTAAACTCTGCATTGCAAAATATGTCTTTTGAGGAAATGTCTTGTACATCCTCTGTAACTGTTACATGATGCAGTTAAAGAGGAAAAATCAGTGTATCTCAGTTACTAAGCAACTTAAGCTTCTAACTTATTCGTATTAAAATGTACTCAAGTCTTCTTACGTAAATATCGGATATATGCTTTTAATGAAGTAAGGCTGGATAGGTGAATCGATAGATAAATACACACAACACCTACAGTCAATAAAATTAGGCTTAGCACTTGAATGGCGTCGTGACGTTTTTTATGTCTTGATTGACAAGATTTTGTTCAATTAAACTGTGTGCTTATTTTATTTTTATCTATCTAACCAAAATGAATCATAATTTGAAAAATACAATAAGCTTGTTTCATCGGTGAAGTCGAGAAGTAACCTGACAGCAAGAAATATAATTCTGGAAATGAGCTTTGAATAATTTGATGAAGGATTCCAATTTTCCTACAGTTATTGCATTAACCGAAATAATGGTAAAATCTCTAATTTTGATCTCATTTAAAAATTAAAATAGACTGTTTAAAATAAATGACTCATTCCAGTATAAATATATTTTTCATGTGTAGAATTTAATAAAAGTAAAACAAGTAAAGTGAGTTAATTATGGACCTTATTACTGTGTTTTGCTTAATAATATATAATTTGAAATTAAATAAGAATGAACCAAATTAAAAATTAACCAAGAGCAAGGACATTATAGCAGATATAGTGCTTGACCTTTAAAATCCTATGTCAATTTGAGGTATAGGTTTGCTTTTGTTGTGTATTAAAATTCGGGATTTTACGAATTAAATAATGTCTGTGTTCTGCTGAATTAATTAGATATTAAGTTTAATTATTTTCTCTAGAAAGAAGCATTTATTCGTGTATTTTTATTATAAGGAGATTAATTTTTCTTTTATTTTCGCTTAATTCTTAATATATTGGGATACAGTCTGTGAACCAGTGCCTCAAGTAAAATTTATGTAAAATCTTCTAATATAAAGTTAATTGTGAAATGTTAGTTTGACTTGACGATTAATATAAAGGAACAGGGCTGCCTGATATTCGTTTCCTTTGCGCCATTTAGTTTTTTCTGTCTTCTTTCACTCAGGAAATGTTCCACAGGATTCTAGAAGCTAGGTCTTTGTTCGGAGTTTATCCGAGTACGTGATTAGTTATTCTTGTAAACAGGAAGGGTAATGGAAAAGGTCGGCAAGAGGTCAGGATTTTGGGGAGCCGGTTACGAGAAGAATTGGCGAATTTTCATGGGTAGCGGCCTTACGCAGATACTTATACAGAGACTTGACCGCTTTTGGAAAACAATGATTGGACTTTGGAAGCTTCTGAGGGGCGAGTTTTGCCAAGTTTGGAAAACAAAGCTTGTTGGTATTTAGGAGAGAAAATTGGAGTGTTCTCTCTCTGGGATCTGGATAATTCTTGTTCGTTGTGCTGCGGACATTCTTGAAGCATTTTTCTGCTCGTCCTGCACTGTTTAGCTGCTGAAGACTATTCTAATGTTCCTGCCGAGGTGTTCATTTTGTTACGTGCTTGAAGTCTTTCCGTGGGAAGTATGAGACCATAATTGCCTTCTACTCCCTGCCAATCTAAGGACATGCATTAATACTTGACTTGGGAGTGTCAACGAGATTTGTCTGCTGTAAGGATTCTGCCACGTTACGACGTGGTACGACTGGTCTCTACGAAGCTAACCGACAAGTGACGAGAGAAGGGGGTGGATGACCGAAGAAGTAGATATCTCCACTGGAGGTGCTTCTACATGATGACTCACCGATGAACGCTAGAGAGGAGAAAAGCACCCTACGACCAGCCTTTTGCCGTTCTCGACGGAACCGCGGAGAGTGACGCCATTATTGACCGCAGCAGAAGGATGGAGCGCCGGACCATTCCAGTATCAACTAGCTAAGTCTTTGGTTCTTTTATCTCTCCTTCAGAATTTTGTTTGTATTTATTTTTGCTTGATTAATCGAAGAACTCCAGCAGTCCTTGTTTCTCTTATTATTTTAGAAAATCTTATTTTTTCTTTAATTTTTGTATCATTTCTTAAATTTTATTTTTATTTATTTCCCGGGGAGGTAACTTTAAGAAATATGTTTTGTAATGAGGTAGAATAGAATTAAAAAATAAGAATGCAGTTTGGATGACTATGCGAGTTTTGTGTTATTTGAATATAATGCTATGCTGATTTGATATTTTATGTTTAACTATGGAATAATTATTTTTCATGAAAATAGAAGGGAACCTGATTTTTAACAAAGTCATTTCCAGCGGCAGATCCCGGGTGCGGATACACAACGCTTCTAGTTTTATTAAAACTATACGAAACACCTATCGGGGTTTCTTCCCTAATTATGCTTGCCAACCGCGTGGTTAAATTTAGTAATTTAGACTTAATCTAATAGTCAGTACTCATTTTCAGTATTACACCATTTTATATCACTACAAGTTGTATTTAACATTAAAGGTTCCTGTGAAACTTGCTATCTAACACTTTAATTTAATTTTCACGTGACGAGTCCAATTCTTGTGTAAGCATATAACTGGCATTCTTGTTCCTTTTGTTCTGTTTTCAAAGTAGTCGATTAAACAATGCAAAAAGTGACAAAATGACGTTTTATTAATCAAGTTTTATTTTAGTTATTTCTTGTACTTTAGATGTTCTATACTAGTTAACATGTTCTATACTAACTAACAATGTTCTACACTAATTAACTGACATGATAAATGAAAAGAAAGCATTATTATGTTCTAGTACAATTTTTTTATGTTATGAGTTAACTGCTTAAAAACAATGTATTAAAATAATGTTGAATTTATATTTCAGGCAGTGGAGGATCATTTGGTTATGCAGGACACCATGCGAATGAATTAATACATCATGCAAATCTTCCTGTTTCGCCGGTTCATGGACTTTCTCATTATCATGTATATGCAGGTTATTATAAATTATTTGTTGATCCATATTTTGGTGGAAGCTTGCACTCTCATCAGCTACCTTTGGGACAATTTATTTTACCATTATAGAGAGCGACAAGTAGGAATGTCTGAAAAGTATATTTCATAGAGAGACATCAGTATTTTACAATGTATGAAAATATATCACAGTAATTTTTGTTGAAGTTCTTTTCGCTTAAGGAATAGTCATCTGACTCTATAGAAAGCGTAAAAGTTTTCAAGTACATTAGTATTTTATGTTTCCTTTATTAGATAATCTTTGTAATTAATGTTGATAATTTGATTTCCTTAAATGAAATTTCACAATGTTAGCTTCATTTCGAAGAGTTCATTTGTAAGACATTTGGAAAATTTCGGTTTGTTTCCTCTTGATTTAGATACTAAAGGATTCAGATACTAATAGATATCAGTTTGATACTTTCGTACCAAGTTCCTGAACCTTATACATGCTCATAGATTTTTTTTTTTTTTTTTTTAATCCAATGGCAGGCACTTGCCTGTTTCTCATTGGCCACTCTTAAGGACAGAGGTGATGACGATTTCATTGTGGATGCACTTAATAGACGGCCACTGTTGCCTCCTATAAAGGCACAGACAGTTGAAACCATGCCTTATGCGGGATTCGAACCTGGGGCCTTTGGTACCGCAGTAGGCTACCCTAACCACTATACCGTCTGGGAGGCGTTTGCTAAACCGGGCTAGGAAAGAAGAATAAAAATAAAAACATGAGATCAGCTCCAAAATAACCAGATAAACCAAAGCAGGGTAGAAAAAATTCCAATTAAAATCACTTCAAATACATGAAATTGTGGAAAAAAGGCAAATGGATTTTGTCCTTCTCGTCACATCCTCCTCAGAAATTTGGAGTAATTAAAAATGGATAAGAAAATGCCTGCTTTTGAACTAAGAAATACACTATTTAGAAATTAATTTAAACTTAAATCAGGAAAAAAATATAAAAAATTACATGAAAATGTGCATGTACCAGCCCAACCCCTACAGGCTGGAATCAAAAAAGTACTTTCCCCAAATTTAATAATTTAATTGCAAACAAAAAAAAAATTAAACTGAGATCAGAAAATGGAAAATGAAGCACAAAGGATAATTAAAAATTTTTTATAAATAGTTTTGAAATTTGGATAAATATAAGAACTGCAATTTGGAATAATAATTTTGACAGTAGAATACAGTAATCAATAAACAAGAAAACAAGTCTCTTATTTAGAACCATAAATAAATACACAATTATAATGCAAGAATTAATAAAATTCAAGCGTCCACAAATACTGCATGGATATTAAGTAAATAAAAAAACATATAAATTATAAATTTAGTAATAGAATTTCAAAATTAGGAACAAAACTGCGAAAATAATCTCAGCCTGGATTATGTAAAGTGCGAAGAGATATGTTATTTAGATTGATAATTACACGTTAGCTATTAGATTTTTAATAAAATTACGTGGAATATTTTACTATTTTAAGAAATTTTACCTAACAGTTTAAAGTTCTTTTAAAAATTCATACTGACTCTGGTGATTTGTGTTATTGTTATTTTGGCAATGATTTTTCTGAAAATATTTGACTCCCAATTAATCAGTTTTGTGGTTTTGAAGATAAAAAAAATTTACTTGGTCAAAAATTTTATTTTGTTAAATTTATATTTAATTAAATCTAAACATTTTAATTAAAAATTCTCGTATATGGTATATTCTAATTGCCTTCCTTATTTCGTAATTACGTTTACTTGTAAATTACTAAATTTTATGTAAAAAACCGTTACTATCAAAACGCATATCATAATCTTTGTGGCTTATACGAAATACACACAAACAAAAATTATTCGGTACTTCCCTATTATAGCGGCCCCAAGATTAATCTCTAATCAACCTAGATATCTCGCCACGTGTTCTTATACCTCGTTACATGTAACAACTCAGTGAATTCAGTGATTAAATTTGAAAGCAAATATGATAAGGAAGTATCAATTATTCCAATCTTGACGAAATTTTGCAAACATGGCCATTAAAACTTTCGAAATCTGCATAAGATTTCGAAGGATCACGTCGCGGGGGTCCATGAGTGCATAAACGTAAAAAGATTAGAAGACAAATATTCCTATTGGAAAAAGAAAGTTAGAGAGAGACCGAGACCGCTGTCTCAGGAGCCAGGATTGAAATAGGAAGTGATCCTCCAATGGAATGAGGGCGTATCTGAATGAGAGCATCTGGATGCCGATTAGTCTGGACTTGTAGGATGTGAAGCACCTTTTACCGAAGATGTACATCTGAGGTTAAAGGAAAAGTCTTAATTCTTTGCTCGGTAGCAATCCATTTTCTCTATCAAATCAGTAGTGTCTTCCCTTCTGTGGCTTATTTCTACAGTTCTACAGCTTCAGAAGTCTTGTAAAGAACTTCATAGTCCCGGATCCAGAAGGAATTTAAAGAAATCTGATGGAGCATCTTCGATATTCTTCATAACGATTGCATGCTTAACTTTTTCAAGTATCGTCTCAGTTCCATTATCTAGGAATATCATTCTTCCTTCCCTCAACACAAAGAGAGAACATGGGACATAAGCTTGAGTAGATCACGTGATTCTCTGACCACTTAATACAAGCAGTTTTATCCTTCTTTGTCAACTGGACAAGTGTTTTCGTGGTTTTCCCCATGTGTAACGTGTATACGAGCCTGTTTCCCTTAGTCCTCCACGAAGGCATTCCTCCCCTTAGGCAGATAGCCCTAGTGTGCTTTGCCATAATTAAATACACCAACACCAACTGGACAGGTATGAGAAAGATGACCTTTTTCATAATAAAGCACTGAGGAGACTTCGAGCAACCCAAGCTGCTCATTAGCGTTGGAAGCATTGTATAGGGTACTTCCTGGATTTGAAGGATATAACCCTAATTCTCATGGAAAAGTAACTTGAAGACCGCTTTACATTTATTAGTGCAGGGAATTCCGAGAAATTAATTAGGAAGTCGTTCAATCTCGTTTTCTGTTTTTTCGTGAATTGTTTAATTTTACGAGTGAGAATCCGCAGTTTTTTAAGTTCATACGTAAGTTTCTCCTCGGAATAATCAGCAGTTATACCACGTAAAGCTACCTTAACAGGGGTATTGTTTAGCAAACGGAAAGCTTTTCATTCAATTTCGCCTTTAAAATAATTTGCATTTATTTAGACGAAATCTTCAAAATCTGACTCATTAATGTTAAAAGGAGGCAGAAAATAGTTTTCTTTTCCTTGTCTCCGGTAGTCAGAACGGTTAATGCAGTCAGAACGAATAATTCCAGTAAAATCCTTTACTTCATGCTTTTGAAATAAAAAGTGCGGTAACTGATTCCAGTTTACATCCGGTCTGGGGCAGGAAAACTGAATGAATGTGACTTCTTTTTGAACTGCTTTGATATATATCCGTTGTACAGTCCTGTAGTCTCTGTTCATTAAGGGGAGATAGTCTTGATTAACGTGAGAGGTATTCGAAACCGGGATGAAATATCACACTGTCTGGCAGTTTTGGTAGTCCATCCTTTCGTGTCCGTTTCAATTTTTAGATCTGGTTGAGCATCCATATCGGAGATGATAGTTATCTAAATATTGGAGTCTTGCATTGATGAAGTTTAAACGGATTGAACATAAGTGGATTCCTTAGAAACTGGTTTCCAGCTTTCTGTACTGTGGATCGACTCCTAACTAACTGGCGATAAAATTAGATTTCTGTCAATGGCAGGTGCTTTTCAGTCCACCTAATCTTTCCTTTTTTCTCACTCGCTTTGACTCAGGCAGGTTCTCTTTCAGGTGTTTCCACGTGCATGGCTTGGTAGACTTGGTACCTTTTGAATGAGTGGGTATGACATTTAAAGGGCTGTTGAAATTTTTAAAAGCCTTTTTATACCATTTATGATAGTCAGATCATTTCAAAATTTCTCTTCGGTGTAGTAAGGGTTAGGTATTTTTCTAGTAAAAAATTGAAAACTCGGTATCATGAAATTGTCAGGACTAAAGTCAGCTTTTGTTAGCTCCCTGCGTGTAAGTGCATGTATAGGAGAATGAGCAATTCGTGCCTCTATTAGAACCACCATAGTAGGTGCAAGGTCCTAAATGTTATGATATAAAAATAAGGAAATCCTGGCGATCAGAGATCCCCACGAATTGGAAACTGTTTAATAGTTTAAACGCATGAATAAGTTTTCACAGTTTACACAACAACTACAAACTCTATTGCAAAGAGTAAGAGTATATTTTAAATTTAATCACAAAACTCAGCTATATAAAAGAAATATGTTGTCACTCGGCAAAACGCATCATTGCAACCTTAATCTTTCGATTAATAAATAAACTCAGAGATTTAAAGAGAAAATGTTGCCGTTAGTCGAATTAAAATAATTTAATTTTTTTCGCAGCTGTGTACTGTCGTTCACCAAAGCGTCGTTCATTTTTCTTTCAAATTTATTCTGTCATTAATTATCAAACAAACCTATTTAAAAGCAATAAATGGAGATTGATTTCAGTTATTAATCACTAGCTAAAGTGAAGTTACACTAATTAGATTCGTTAAAATGATCTATATATACATAAACAAGAGTGTTCTTTGTTTTTTTTATTGCAGCTAATTCATACAAATATAGTGTTTTATTTGATCTTGATGAAATTTTGCACACTCAATCTTCAAAACAGGAGCTAATTCATACAAATCTAGTGTTTTATTCGATCTTGATGAAATTTTGCACACTCAATCTTTAAAACAGGAGCTAATTCATACAAATCTAGTGTTTTATTCGATCTTGATGAAATTTTGCACACTCAATCTTCAAAACAAGAGAAAAGTCACTGTCTATATAAGATTTTGATAAATTACCTCAAAGAGTTCACGCTCAGGGTGTTTACATAACAATGTTGTTCTCACAGCACTCATCTGACGTGCATGTCGTTGTTGTTGCACACCCACTATCAGTTCTTACTAAAATCGTTAGATGGCGACATGTTCCTTTATACACTGCCCTCAAAAAGTTAAGGAACATCATGTTTTTCAAAGCTCACCATTACAAAAATGTTAGTAACATTTAA